GGGTTTTTCAATCGAAAATCAATAATTTTGATGTGAATGGGGAGTTCGTGCTGTTGTTGGGGCTACACTACACCCCCAATGTCTATTATTAATTTCCTCCAAACTTTTTTTTATATTATATTCTCCATAGCCTTTTGAATTTGTAAAAGGGTTTCCAAGGTTTTCTGTTAAAACAAGTTCAGAGGTGTCGTGTCGCCATAGCTCTTCACAATCAGCATTTGGAGGAAATTTGTTGTGGCTGTGAAGAAATTGGCCACAAATTCATGTTGCTCATACAAACCTAATAAATTAAAAACATTATCTTCATTTAAAATAACTAAAGTTTTAATGAAATCTTCCTTGGTCAACCAACTGTTTTAACCCACTTCGTTTAGTCAACCAATAAATAAAGTCAACGTGAGTCTGAGTTTTTATATTTTATTTATTTATTTTTTTCCTTTTCACAAAATTTTTCTAAATTAATTTATTTCTAAATCTTTAAATGATTTAGTTTATACAAAAATTAAAAATTAGAGTTAGTGTCGTCTATTTACACGGTAGAGACTCCCTAAGGTGCAAAATCTCCGTTTAAATGAGATATATATTTCTATTCCGTTCATTTAAATTATGATAAAAAATATATATAAATAAAATTGATGCTAACTACAAATTACGTGTGTTCTTAAATTAAATTAAATTAAATTAAAAAAGAAAAGGAATGGTTGACTATTTCTTTAAATATATAATATATATATATATTTGGATAATTTAATTCACGAATTTTAGTTTTCCAAACGTTTTTGAAGGAGAAGATTTGAAATATATTTAGACTTTAAAAAATGGGAAACAGTTTCAAAGTCCAAAATGGATAACGGTAAGTGATCGGCGATGACGAGAAGTTCCGATCCGAGACCGAAAGATTGGGCTTCTGTCGACGTCGGAACCCTACGTCGATCCTTAAAATCCGAAGTAATCAATTCGGACGAAATCCTACATCTCCAAATTCCGATGATTTAAGATCGATTTCTTGGATCTTTATTACGCCATTCTTCTCATTCCCGGAAATTTCAGTGTCTGATTCAGGGCTCTATTTCTTTCTTGTTGGATCTTTATTTCGCCATTCTTCTGAATCAGACACTGTAATCCTCTGTGCTTGTTCTGATTGTTTGCAGATTGGAGAGCGGGAAGCTTCAAATTGTTGGGGGTTTTCGTATCGTTCTTTTTTCTTTTGTACAGATTGCATTGATTTTCCAGAAATTATACAACGCTCTTAATTGATTTGCGTTCATCTTCTTCCTACAAGAACCGCAATCTTTAATCTGTTCTTGCGTTTTCGTTAGTTGTTCTTGAGTTACTGTGTTTAATTATCTTCACGGATTGGATAGGTTAGGATGCGATCGAGACGCAATGTGGCTCCAGCGATTGATTTGTTCCCAAACCTTAAGCCTCCCCACAGAACTTTAGGTTTTCACAGGACACTTGTTCTAATCATCACATTCCTTGCATATGCGTCCTTCCATGCCTCGAGAAAACCTCCGAGCATCGTTAAGAGTGTGCTTGGACCAACAATCCCGGTAAATTCATCAAACATTTTGCGGAGTTCGCCCTCAAATGTAACTGGGTGGGCTCCTTTTAATGGCCCTGACGGCATCCAGTTGCTAGGGAAGCTTGATCTTGCGTTTCTTTCTGCATATTCCATTGGAATGTATTTTGCAGGGCATGTTGGTGATCGGATGGACTTGAGATTATTTCTTGCTTTTGGGATGATGGGTAGTGGCATTTTCACGATACTATTTGGGTTAGGATATTGGTTAAATCTTCATGTGTTGTTGTTTTTCATTACTGTTCAGATTATATGTGGTCTATTTCAGTCGATTGGATGGCCATGTGTGGTGACAATTGTAGGAAATTGGTGTGGCAAAGAAAAGAGGGGACTCATTATGGGTGTCTGGAATTCAAATACTTCCATTGGAAACATCATTGGATCGATTGTAGCTTCTGGGATTTTGGAAATTGGATGGGGTTGGTCGTTTGTGGTACCTGGAGCTTTGGCCATTTTTGTTGCCATTTTGGTGTTTCTGTTTCTTGTTGTGAGTCCTGAAGACATTGGATTTGAAACCTTTGTTAGTGTTAGCGAGACTGAATTGAATGCTGAGGCGATTTCAGTTGAAAAATCAGAGAACGCAGATTCAGAAGAAACAGTGTTGCTTGGTGTTGAGCATCATTCAGATTCTATGCCTGCAATTGGCTTCTTAGAGGCGTGGAGGTTGCCGGGTGTTGCGCTTTTTGCTGGCTGTCTCTTCTTTTCCAAGCTTGTCGCTTACACTTTTCTCTACTGGCTGCCATTTTACATCAGACACACAGGTACCTCTTTCTCATTGCTAATGAATGAAATTATCATTTGAAATGCAAATCTTAGAATGAGTGTGTCTTAAAAGCTTTTAAAAGGCTGCTTTTACGGCGAAAGCACTTAACATGGCTGTAACAGCCCAAGCCCACGGCTAGTAGATATTGTTCACTTTGGCCCGTTATGTATCATCGTCAGCTTCGCGGTTTTAAAACGTGTCTACTAGAAAGAGGTTTTCACACTCTTATAAGGAATGATTTGTTCCCTTCTCCAGCCGAGGTAAGTCTCACAATCCCCACTCCCTTTGGGGGCCAGCGTCCCCGCTGGCACACCGCTCGGTATTTGGCTCTGATACCATTTGCAACAACCCAAATCCACTGCTAGCAAATATTGACCTCTTTTGCTTGTGATGGTTTTAAAATGCGTCTACTAGGGAGAAACTTCCACATCCTTATAATGAATGCTTCGTTCCCCTCTCCAACTGATGTGGGATTTCATGATCCACCCCTTTTAGGAGCCCAACGTCCTTGCCGGCACACCGCTCGGTGTCTGACTCTGATATCATTTGTAATAGTCCAAGCCCACCGCTAGTCAATATTGTTCGTTGTGGCTCATTACGTATCGCCATTAGCGTCACCGTTATAAGGATGTTGAGCCCTGAAAAGAGGTGGATTATGAGACCTCACATTAGTTAGAGAGGAGAACGAATCATTTTTTATAAGGGTGTGGAAACCTCTCCCTAGCATCCTAGCAGACGTGTTTTAAAACATGAGACTAACGGCGATACGTAACAGGTTAAAGCAGATAATATCTACTGGCGGTAGGCTTGGACTGTTACAATGCATTAGTTGTATAAAGACTCAATCCAATGCCTGGAATTCGAGCAATTGTCTATAAAATCGATAGGCTAGTACCTAAATATGTTCAGCATGATATTGAATCCATTGTGTGAAAGAAGGCAACCTCTGTTCATCCTGAAACCATTCTTTAAATCTAGCTTTGAAGCGTGAATTGCTTATACTAGTAATTTTCTGCTGTGATAGCTGTTGCTGGTGTGCATTTATCTCATAAAACAGCCGGCATCCTGTCCACGATTTTCGACGTTGGAGGTGTTTGTGGAGGAATATTAGCAGGATTAATCTCTGATTTGATCGATGCTCGTGCAGTTACTTCAATAGCATTCCTGCTACTCTCAATTCCTGCTTTAGTTCTCTACCGTGCTTTTGGGAGCATTTCCGCAGTCACCAACACCTGTTTGATGTTTCTTTCGGGGTTACTTGTCAATGGCCCCTACTCACTTATTACCACAGCTGTTGCAGCTGACCTCGGCACTCAAAGTATGCTTGCAGGGAATTCCCGAGCTTTAGCAACCGTGACTGCAATCATCGATGGCACTGGGTCTATTGGGGCAGCTCTTGGGCCTCTTATGGCTGGATATCTGTCCAGTAGAGGATGGAACGCTGTCTTTTTCATGCTGATTCTTTCCACCTTCTTTGCTGCCCTGTTCTTGGTTAGTTTAGCTTTATCCGAAATCAAAGTAAAGTTGGAGCAAGGACAATGGTTTTCTAGTTCCCACACCTCAACAGGTTTAGGTCTAGAGAAGTAGATTTCTGATAGAAAATATATTTGTACATCTTTGTATCCTATTCCTTTGTATTCCTTGGAGAAAGATTCATGTACCATCATACACAGCAATTGATACGAGAATACAAAAAATAATTCCATCTTTCATTTATTTTTCTGAGTCATGTGAGGATTACGTATTAGTTGGAGAGAGGAATAAAGTATTCTTTACAAGGGTGTGAAAATCTCTTCGTAGTAGACGCATTTTTACGAGGCTAACAAGGATACGTTACAGGCTCAAACAATATTTAGTACATTTGCCTGCAGTTTTGTTTCTGTCAATACTGATGCACTCACCTTTCGCAAGCGTGTGAGATCTTATGTGATCTCACATGTGAATGGTGGGTAGAGAGGGGGAATGGTGTCACAATCGCACTCTAGTGGCAAGTAGACATGATTTTAGTAATCGGTCATACTTATCTAAGATGAAAGTATGTAAAAGGGGCATTCCTGTATTGCTACAATATAAACTAGTAAAAGACTTATCTAGGATGAAAGTATATAAAAGTAGTTTGGAATGGACATACGGTCATAGACAACACGTCCTACACAAACATAATTGAAACACTCACCATACGACTATAGACGACACGTTTTGAGCAAATATAACCGTGACAAAGGGCAGGCAAAGGCATCGGGCATAGGGCATGGTGATGTCCTAATCTAGTGCCCCATTTCATATGGCTGAGCGGAATTGGGGGTAAAAATGGGCCCAAATTCTTGAGAAATGAGTACTCAAAATGGTGCAAGAGATGTAAGAAACATGATGGATCCAATTTAAAGCCCACTTATGGGACCCTCTGCCACTCTTTGTTCCCATTATGCACCACCTACCACTCTTTCTTCACTCTTCAAAATAGAACCCTTTTTGTTTTACTTACAAACCCTAGTTGTTCATACTATACAAAACAGTTCCTTTCTGTTCCTTTTCTCAAAGTAAAAGTAAAAAACAAAAGACACCCAAGTTGGTGGGATTAATATATTATAATGTCTGGTCGTTGCCTTTATCCATGCAAAACATTATGTAGAATTAATTAATTAGGGGTACAAGTAGTAATAATAATATTAATGTTGATAACATATAGGCTTTTAGTAATGGTATGTACAAAGGACAGTTCCCTAAGCCCTAAAAAACCTGCAGCATTTCTGTAACGCTGTCTTTTATACTCTCTTTTTTGTTGAATTTCTTTTACCCTACAACCCTTTTTGTCTTGTTCGGTTGTGTTGTTTGTCTGTTTCTTTTGGGATCAGTTATGTATTGGAGGCTTTCTTGTTGCTGGAGAATAGTCCATTTCTGCTATCTCTATGAGGTCTGGATAATGTTGTTGTTGTTCATGCCCTGCCTCAAGATTCTCAGAAACTGCCTTTGAACTCTTCATGTCCTGTTCTTTCATGCCCTGGTTCCCCTTTTTGTTTCCTTCTTTATTCTAAACATCAAACCACACACAACCCTGTTAGTGATATTGTCCACTTTGAATATGAGCTCTCGTGACTTTGCTTGAAAAGTATTTTTTACTTATTAACCAACGTGTGACTCCCTCCCAACAATTCCCATCGAACAAAGTATACTATAGAGCTTCCTCTTAGGCCTATGGAGCCCTCGAACAACTTCCCCGAGGCTCGACCCCTTTTCTGGAGTCCTCACCCTTTGTTCGACACTTGAAAATTCTATTCACATTGCTAATTTACGGGCATGACTCTGATACCAAATGTTGGAATGACCCACGATCGAAATATGTCGAAACAATGAAAAGAATTGAAAAGCTAAGTGTTTAAGATTTCTTCGTTTTAAAAGCTCTCTCCTCTCAAGTTGTTCCTTTTACTTATTTCGACATATTTCGATCGTGGGTCATTTCCAACTTAATCAATTGCTGTTCTTGTATGAACTTTACGTAAATTTGTTAGGTTTTAAAATCCGAGATGACTAAGACTAAGACTAACCCTTGTTGTGGAAGGGGTTGGAGATGATGGTGAAGTTTCCATCAGAAGTTTTCTACTTTTCCCTGCATCATAAATGTCAAACCCACTTTAGATATGCGATGTGATGCATAATAAAGAGTGGAATATGTCCCGTTTGGGCAAGATTTAATGCACAAAACTTAAGCCCAACCTGAATTCCAATGCCCATTTTCTTCCACCAATGGAACCTCCTCTTCCTATAGTTAATATATATTAGCCATCAAGATAAGAGATTTTGGAAGAGAAAGCTTTAAAGGGAAAACTCACAAGTGGTGTTCCTAGCAGCAGTGGCTTCATCAGCCCATTCCCCAAGCGAACACCTTCACAAACACAAACTTGCTCCATTAAAGCATATAAGAGCATCAAACAACAAAACCCATCTAAAACAAATTGCAAAAAAGTTGCATACCTTGAGAGTGATCAAAGAGGAAGAACATAAGGAGAAGAGAAGCAAGAACATGAATGGGCCTCATTTATGGATCTAAACAAGTGTTTTTTTTTTCTCTTTGTGTTTATAAGAGGAGATCAAAGCGTAGAAAGTAAGCTAAAAGACACCAAATTTGAGACAGTTTTGGATTCCTTAAGGTGGTCGGAATTGAAGGAGAGATATGTGGAACTCGTGAATGCTTGATGCCTTGGCAATTGAGGCTTCATATTATATATATATATGGAGTGTGAGGGTCCCATTTTCTCATGACTTCTCAAAAACTTTGAAGGTTCGATTGGGATCTTTCTTCTTATTTTCTTCTTGTATTCCATTTAGAATGATTAATCGAATCAAGGGGCTATAATTCATTGTAGGACCATGCCGTTTTGTATGATTCATCAAATCAGATGCCTGTCTTCATAGAGGCACTATCACGTGCAAGATCATAGCCTTCAAATGCCCTTAGCCATCGGTGTATGAACAATCATACATCTTTTCATCAATCCTTCACTTAATGACAAAATCAAGGTTATATATGAATTTAAACAACTTAATTTAATGGATAAAGTCTCTTAACTTTTTAGTGTATTTTTTTTTTAGATTGATAGTGTATGGAAGAATGTAAGCTCGATAATGCAGATTTGGAGGTCGGGAATTCAGATTTGAACTTGTTCGTTGAGATTTGTGAGATCCCACGTTGGTTCGAGAATAGAATAAAACATTTCTTATAAAGCTGTGGAAACCCTTCTCTAGTAAGCACGTTTCAAAACTGTGAAGCTGATAAAACGAACAATATCTACTCGCAGTGAGTTTTGGACTATTAAAAATGGTATTAGAGCTAGACACCATTTGGTGTGCCCGTAAGGATGTTGGCCCCCAAAGAATGAATTGTGATATCCCACGTTAGTTAGAGAGGGAACGAAATATACCCCTAAGGCTGATACAAGATTATACCTCAATTATGGTTTTTTTTTTTTAATGCATTAAACTTTATTGATTTGGAGTTTTATGTGCCAATTGATTATAGATTTCAAATAGTAATAAATTTTATAGCTTGATTTTTTTTTTTTTTAATAATTTTGAAATCATTTTGGAGGGTGAAATGCCACGTAGTCAACTAAGAGAAAGGGGTTAGTGGGGTCGAAAGGCATGTGTTGGGGAACAATCAGATTTAATGCATTGCATGCGAGGGTGACTAGACAAACGGTGAAAGACACCAATTTGCACAACTATAATTCACCGCATTTACCGACGTGGTGCCATGGTCTCTCCACGTGGACGTCCATATCTTGGGCCCCACTTTTTAATGACGTGGCATATCCGCCATGCAGGCACCGCCACCCCATCTCCACCATACCCACGCTCAGCTTCTGCTTCCCCCACCTTCCGGACCGGACGCGCGTGTCCCACAATTTCTCTCCATTATTTTCTTTTTCTCATTTTTAAATTTTATTATAAATATGTTTTCCTCAAAATTTAAAATAAAGTATCTATTATTCATGAAGAATCTATAAGATTGTAATATTAGAAGCATATTCTACTTTATAAACCCAATTTCGAGACGTATTTTTGTTCTAAAAATGACATAATATGTATTAAATTTTGTTAATTTTTTAAATTAAATGTAATGTACTTTTTTTTATTCCTTTTCAATTATCTCTTTTGAGTATATATTAAAATAAATATTTATTCAATCAAGGAACCTATCCAATTAAGCCACCTCCCTTCCTATTCTTTTTATGTAACATGCTCAATGAGAAGCTCATATATTAAATTAAATAAACAAATATTTTGGCACAAACCCTAAACCCAAAAAGCACAAAAATATAATTTTTTTGGGTTAAATTATTGTCTTATTTTTAAAAAATATCGAAAGTGATATAGAAATTTGTTAGAATTTAAAATATTTTAATAAATTTCTAAAATATGGGTATTTAAAGAAGAAGAAAAAAAAAAAAAAAAAAACAAAGTGGAAATGGGAGGAAGGATATAGGTGCCGGCAAAGCGACAGCACATGTTCCTCAGAAACTGGATGTTTGAAATATAAAATTAAGTGGTAGCTATAACTAACTATATGATATAATGTTGGGTTTTAAAAATATGTACTTTACCTTAACAAAATAATGTAATAAAAACCATGCTTCTCCTCCTTCTCATACGTATTTTTTGGATTAATGTCTGGTCAAACCATAACATGTTTTTAATTCTTGACTTTATATTTAATTTTTCTACCTAAAGTTTCCAAACTTCCAATTTAATGGTCTAAAAAGACCACAAACAACATTAAAATATACTTATGAGTTAATAATAATAAAATAAGAAAAAAAAAGTACAAATTATCCTTTCTCAAATCTAATTCATAAATAAAAGAAAAAATATATATTTAAATTCGAAAATCTACATTAAAATCTTATTATTATAAGTTGGATTTTTCTTTGTTTTGTTTTCTATTCACACTAGTGTAATAAGCACCGCAATATACCTTCAAATTACAAATTTACCGTTAGCGTCCCGAGGTGAGATTTCCCTGCCTATATGAATGGTCGGAACAAAGATAGAGATATTTTTTACCTTCTTAGTTTTATGGATAAATTTAAATATTTTTACCATTGGATTTTTTTTCTAGGTATTTTCTTCATGTACCCGACACATTTATCGAGTCAATTGCAAAAATCGATAAGATACATGTTCCAAAAATAAGATCTTTGGGTCTGACACGTCAACTATCTACTAATATTTTTGTATGGTTCACAATCATTTTATATATATATATATATATATATATATATAATTTGTAATAAAACTCTAAATTATTTCCTATAGTTTAGTTTTTTAAACTAAGTACGAGAATAAAAATGATTATATTTTTAAAATAGAGTAACACGATTACAAATTTAAATGTTGTTTTTTTTTCCTTGGGATATGATGGGCATAAAATAATTCTTTTGTGACCATATAATACGAAAAAAAAAACATATTGGGTAAACAAAAAAGGTAACTTTGGATAAAAATATGAACAATAACTTAGCGACAAATGCAACTTGTAGATGTCTTATTCCTTGTCAGAAAAGTGGTTGGGTCTCTATTAAATGTTGTCTGCTGTAACAAATCTTTGTCATCTCCAAACTCATTACATAAGCTTTCACCATAAATCAAACGAATAATCTTTCTTGTCACAAAAACAAAAAAGCATATGCTATTATTGTTAAGGATATTTAGTAATAAATTATACTTTTTCGTATATATTTTGTTATTTCCAGTTAGTACTATTTCCATATCCTTGTAATTTATTTGATTATAAATAAGATAACTTTCACACCATTTAGGTGTGGTGGATTAATCAAACATTCACATATATATACTTTGCGTTCGATTAATTCAATCTTATAAACCTAACAAATAACCAATATTATAAGCCTAAATACACCCTCTTCCAAATGTTTAGACCAAAAAATGCTCGTAATTTTTAAATACGATGATTTTGAATGGTGGGAGGAGTAGAGTTTGAAAAATATATTCTTTTAGTTTTGGAAAACGTATCGAATGCAACTTTCTCTCACGTGTCTTGTCTCAACTTTTCAAGACATTACCTATGACCCAGCGTGAGAGAAAGGATGAAATAGCACACTTTCATGTTTACTGATCGAGTACTATGCAAAAGCTATTATGAAGATGGTAAGATTAGTTCGTTTACGAAGTTTGCCCTAAATTTGATTTGACATCCAATAAAGCGAGCGAGAATGCAAGCTTGAAGAAGGTATATAGGTCGGGTCTTTCTAGCAGCATCGTCCTAGCATCACGTAATAATTCTAAACGAAACCGTACTACAAAACATACTAAGAGGAGGGGAATTCAGAAATGACATTGTCGGGTCATTGTTTGACAAGCACATGGAGATAGTTCTTGGTCTCCTTTGCTTGGAGGCTTCTTCAAATTTGATGGTCTTATATTTTGGTAGCTCCTTCAAGAATGATCGTCTTTCCACTTAATTTGGTCGCATAAAGGAGAAAAAAGGAGACCCAATTGAAAGAATGGCATTTAGAAGAAGCCTAAAACCAAAAGACATGATATTCAAAGATGGGTCCAGTGAGAGTGGCAGGCATATGAGATGGGTATCTATATATCAACAGAATGCAACATGAGTATTAATGATATGGGTCGGATGATGAACACAAGAACATCTTGTGGAATTGTGAAATGGTGTGGGTTTGGTTTGGCAATAAATGATATGAGAATGATGTGTATTTATTGTCAACCTCTCCTCTTCTCCATCCGGTTCGGTATGAGTCTAAATACAAAGTCTTTTAAATGAAAAACTATCGTCTTTCTTCACTTGAACTATCAGAGAATTATGTTCGAAATCAACCCTTGTTGCTCTACTGTAATGACCCAAGCTCACCACTAGTAAATATTGTCTTCTTTGGACTTTTCTTCTTGAGCTTCGTTTTTAAAATGCGTATGCTAGGGAGAGGTTTTCACACTCTTATAAAGAATGTTTCGTTCTCCTCTCTAACTGATTAGGGATCTCACAATCCTCTCCCTTTAGGATCAAACGTCCTCGTTGGCACTCGTTCCTCTCTCCAATCGATGTAAGATCTCACATCTACTTTCTCGTAAGGCCATACCTATGAGTTTATAATCCTCACATGGGAGTGTAAGGCTACAAAGGCACATGGACGTGTACGCCCTTCTCGTAACCAAGTGGCCCCCTATGTATAATATCACATTCTTTCTTCTTCCATCCACACTTTATCTAGTCCTAGCTAGGGTTTCCTAGCTCTAACATGGCGTTTTCTATACAACTTCGAACCTTATGATATTATCCCTATTGGATTCAAATTAGGTCAGTATAGAGCTACACGTTACGAAACGATCTGTTTTGAATTTTCTTTCATAGAATTCATCGAAACCTAACTAGAATTTTAAAATAAAACTAAAAATTGGTTACACGCTTCTCTTTCCTTCATTTGATTCGTAATACTAAAAAAATCAAGAAACAAATCTATTTGTCGAGCAAAAGGAGCGAGAAGGATTTAAACCTCGATATTACTTCAACATTATGCTCAAAGAAATTCACTTCAATGGACTTAGCTTGCTCGTTAGAAGATCAAGCCACCAAGTACCAATCTCCCAACAATACTGACGCAAAAGGATCGATCTTCTATTATCGTATTCAAATTATGCTATTATTTTGTATTATTATATTATAATTTTATATAAACTTTAAATAATTGAATACAATAACGTTTCAATCAATGCATAATATTTGTTGGGACATATAGGATCATATCCATTCTCAATATTTTACTAAATAAACAACTAATTAGTGAAATTAAGTTTATAACATAAAAAAAGTATATTTTATTAAACGGCCACATAACTTTAATTCTTCTGTGATGGATTAGAAAATTTTAAAATTTATTATTTTCATAAAAGTTCTGACCATAGGCGAAATTCGTAATTTCGCCCCATCCACTTCCGGCTATGGCCCGCAAAGAATTTGGCCCTCGGAAGATGTAGTGGGCCAGGCCTATAAGTAAGCCCAAATGGATCTACGAAAAAATAGTGGGCCGGGCCTATAATAAGCCCAAATAGATCTCGGAGGATAGTGGGCCAGGCCTATAAGTAGCTCATTAAATCTTTTTTTAAACAATTAAATGATTTCGATAATGCAATTCATTACAAAAAGAATAATAATAACTTTCTAAATACTTTTTAGTTTCTAGAATTTTGTTTTTAAGCTTTTTAAAAAGATTATTCCAAATGGGCTTTTAAATTTTGTCTTTTTACTTTAACACTTTTTTTATTTTTTTTATTAATGGACTACTATAATGTAAAGTTCCAGATGTAATAATAATAATAATAATTAAATTACAAATGTCAAAATAGGTTTAATTAAACCAATGAATGGTAGAGAGAATATATACTATTTCTAAAATGTGACAATATTTCTTTTACTTTTGTATTAAACTATGCAATATAAATGGGTGCTTTATGCCATTGGCCACATTTTAACAAATTATTTAATCAAATTATCGAATCATTAACTTTAATACCCATGCATCCACACCGATATAGATACTAATCTCACAGAAAAACACGAGTCCTTCCAACATGCAATTGTTTTCACTCACGTGTATCTAGTAAAATTTTAAGGGGGCCAGCACACTTAACGTTCAATTATTTTTTAAGTTACTCTGAGTTGTTTTATCTTCAGAATCATTCTATGTTAGACATGATCTCGATTACTCGAGTGTTACTTAAACCATAAAGATAAAATTTGCGATGATGTGCGTGAAGAAAACACATAAAAATAAAAATAAAAATTGACGTGATTGGTGCTTCAAACGGTTAGGTTAAATAGTTAAATTATATTTGAAGGAAAGGTGGAATGTGGTATGAATGGAAATATTTGATATCTAAAAAGTGATCATTATGTCTCAAATTGGGTACCCATCCAAGAAAGCATATGCTTTAGGCCCACGTTGACAGCTAAGCTACTTTCATTCATCGCAGACATTATTAATTATTGAATAGTTTGAATGCTTTATTCATAAAATTTATGTTGCTATAGTATTATATAAGCTTATTATAATCATTTCATTTTTTAAATAATAAACCATGCCACTTAGATATATGTCATTGTAATCAATGAAAAAGACTACTCGATTATATCAAATACAATGCTAAAATGGAAATTCTTTTAATGAACTAAATTTATAATCAATAAAGTTAAAATATTAACTCAGTGGATTAGATTAAAATGGTAATTTTAATTAATAATTACAAATTAGATTTTTTATTTATTTATTAAAAATAAGAATAATAAAACGGTCACAATCCGGTTGGAAATTTGAAACCAGGGAGTCGGTGCGCGCAAGGACACGTTCACGACGCGTCACAAAACAAACGTGTTAGACAGAACGGAACGGAACTGTTCTGTCAAGTGGGTCCCACATCAGAATATTTCCTATTTAAATAATTAATCGGTTTGTGACACGTGTATCTTTCACGAGGGCGAAAACCGGAATTTGTCAAAAGTATTCCAGCAGCCAGAAGACCGCGCAAAACAAAATGCTAGCGCCAAGCGCGCGGCTCCAAATTTGTACGATTTCCTTTTCTTCCCTTTTTACCATCTCCTCCTTCCCACCCACGTCTCCCTCAATTAATTAATTAGTTAATTAATTAATACCAATAAAATTTAAAGCTCCACATGCAATGCACACGTCTTTAATTTACTCTTATTAATTATAAGTTGGGTATAATTTATTTAAACTTTCGTATTCCTAAATTTTTTTAAAAAATTTTAAAAATATTTTTATGGTCAGTAACACGTTTGAAAATCTTTATGAATTTTCAATTAAAAAATTTAGAGATAATTTATGAAGTGCCGATAAATAATTTTCACACACACATATATATTTATTAAACTTTGGACGTTCCAAATTTTTTTTATATTGGGTAATTAAATATAAGTGGATCAAAAATTACTTTTTAATTTTTTACCTTTCATTCCTTTAATACAGACACATTTTAATTTAGTAATAACTGTTTAATAGCCAAAAGAAACCCACGAACCCGGTTTGATTTTGGCATATTTATTTTGCATCATTAATGCTATTTTATAAAGGAAATTATTAAAACAAATCTTCCAAAATATTATTTATAGCCTCAAATTTAATTTTTCTTTTAATACCAAAACTAATGGAAGGGACATATTTGGAAAATAAAATTTTAAAATAATTATATTTTATATAGGATTTAGAGATAAGGGTATAAATGTAATGTAATTTAATTTTTAAAGTAATAAGGCATTATTACGAAGGGTAAAGAGGGAAAAAAACATGGGAATTATAGAACGATGAGAGAGAAAGCGAGGGTATTTTGGGTACAAAGTGAATTTCTTCTTCCGAACCTCTAAACATAAGCGTGCAAGCCCCACAGATCTCTGGCTTTCTTTCTCTCTCGGCTCTCAGAATTAGAACACAGCCTGCAACGCAGTGATCGACAGTCACTGCTATGCGGATTTTCAGATCAACTCTCTTCACTCTCCCTCTTCTCTTTGCCCTTTTCCTTCTCCTCCATTCTACCATCTCCGCCGGCTCTGACCTCCATTATTCCCGCTTCCATGGTACTCTAGTTTCCCCTGTTTTTTCCCTTCGTCAATCTCGTGTCCAGTTCTCTTCGTTTTTTCTACTTGTTGAGTGACTTTTTTGTCTTTTTCTTTTTTTGATCGGAGCAGTTAGCCCTGGAGTGTTGGTTCGGGCAGTGGAGCTGTCGAAGACGACGGGGAGGAATCTGGCGGAAGCTACCGTTGATAATTCATCTCTGATTTTGGCTGAGAGTAGGACGCAGAGGAAAGACCCTCTTAATAATTTTGAGCTCTATACTGGGGGTTGGAATATACGCAATAAGCATTACTGGGCTGTAAGTTCCGTTCTAATCTCATTTGTGCGCGCGTTGCTTCTTCTTTCTATACATTGTGAATAACCACTGCCGATAGGGTTTTGCTGTTCTTTTCGGTTAAATTTACAATGGGTTTTGAATTTCTTAAGTTCTTTGCTTTTTTTTTTTTCCTTCCTGCTTGCTCTGTTGTTGTCAGATATCCATTTCAGTTCGTAATTAGTTGTTTTTTCTTTTCCTCCCGGAATTACTGCTGTCGTGGATTCAAAAACAGTATAGTTGCCTTGATAGTCAGCAAGAAAGTTTTAGAATGTACAGAATCAGAGAAGGGGAAGGAACCTTTGATTTTAATAGCTGCTTTATGGATTTGTGAGTTGGTCTGTGATTGATAGTGATAGTTTTAATTGAAGGCTTTGTTGTTCATCGTTGGCCTGATTTTGTGTTTAACTTTAACGTGATTTCAAATGTTCTTGAAGAATTTGTTTCTCAAGTTTATTTTGTGAACTAATTTGCTTTCGGGTTTTTGTTTTTGTTCTCATCGTTGTCCTGTTCTGCAGTCTGTTTCCTTTACAGCAGCTCCCTTCTTTGTCATCGCTGGGGTTTGGTTCATTGTGTTTGGATTGTCTTTGATGCTCATCTGCCTATGCTACTGCTGCTGTCGAAGGGAGCCTTATGGATATTCTCGATTGGCTTATGCTCTTTCTCTCATTTTCCTCATCCTCTTTACTATTGCAGCAATGTAAAAGTCTTTCTTTTTTCCCCTTGTCCTTCTCCATATTATTCACTGTTTTGAAGAAATTTGATCTTCAAAATTTAATTTTTGGTTTTCAGTGTTGGGTGTGGTGTTTTGTACACGGGTCAGGGGAAGTTTCACAGCATCACAACAAGTACACTGGACTATGTAGTGAGTCAAGCTGAAACAACTGTTGACAATCTCCGTAATGTATCAGATTACCTTAGTGCGGCTAAGAAGATAGGAGTTGCATCAGCGTTTCTTTCTGGAGATGTCAAAGGCAAAATCGATGATATTGATAGAAAGCTCAACTCTTCTGCTACAACTCTTTCTCAGAAGACTGGAGATAATTCAAAGGATATCCAATCTGTACTCAATCACATGTAAGAAGATCAAATCGCCATAGACAACATTATGGTGCTTGCTTATCTGGATACTAATGGTTTATTCTTCTTGTTTTGCACTACAGAAGGCTTGCTCTTATAATTCTTGCTGCTATTATGCTCCTTCTGGCATTTCTTGGCTTTTGTAAGTGTTTTATATTTCTTAATACTAGAAGATACAACACATGAAGGTTTTATCAAATGCAATAGAGCTCATCCCTTCTGTATTTGTTCTGCCAATTCTTTGCAGTATTTTCCGTCCTCGGGATGCAGTCTCTTGTGTACTCGTAAGTTTACGTCTCAGATTTTACTGATGAATTCAAATTTGTTATGTTATTGATGCGTATATTCTTTTGCACATATTCCTTGTGATGAACACTTAGTTCCCTGATGCTGCAGCTTGGTGATCATTGGTTGGATTCTTGTTGCTGGCACATTCATTTTGTGTGGAGTTTTTCTTCTCCTCCATAAGTAAGTTTGTTTCTTTATGACTTGTTTAGTGTTTTTGATGTTCCCTTGATTTGCACCATCGTATTGGATAATCTGCATTGGATCTAGTTTTGAGACCGTTCATTTATATTTTTTGCCTCGTGTATTCGATGCTAACGACTCATAAATAGACGAGGTTGCCTTTGTTGGCTTAAGTTAGCCCGTGGGGCAGGGCCTATCATGAGTAAAGAATTTTTCTTCAATCAACTTTTTATTTTGGTGCATACCCTTTTCTTCCTTATATCTGCAAGCTGTTAGTGTAAAGTGAAAAGTGAAAAGGTAATAGGCTTCATTGGCAGTTTTAGCTTTACTTGAAATGGAAGATTGTTCAACTTTCTTGAAATTTATGCATGTGGGTCTAGACATTTCGATGTGTATTAAATTTTAAGCTGTTTGTGATAAGGCAAGCCTTTTCCATGTCGTATATAATTTTAAGCTGTTCTTGATAAGACTATCCTCTGCGATGCTTGTCTGCTGACTTCTTATCTCAATACACATTAGTGTTGTAGAAGACACATGCGTTTCAATGAATGAGTGGGTTCAAAACCCAACTGCTCATACAGCTTTGGATGATATCCTCCCGTGTGTGGATAATGCCACAGCCCAAGAAACTCTCGCACAATCAAAGAATGTGGCATTTCAACTTGTTACTGTGGTTAACAATGTCATCACTGGAATTGCAAATCGTAACTTTCCACCAAATGTTGGACAACCCTTTTATTTCAATCAATCTGGTCCATCAATGCCCATCCTCTGCAGCCCTTTTCATTCAGACCTCACTGATCGTTCGTGTGCATCGGGTGAAGTGGAACTGCATAATGCTACTAAGGTAAGTGAAATTGAAAAATTAAATGGATTTTTTTTTTTTTTTTTTTTTTGAGATCCCGTAGAGTGTCTGTTATATCCACCATAAAGTTTGTGTTCTGTACCTTTCATGATTGTCTTTCATATAGCTTTATGCATGTGAGATCTCACATCGACGGGAGAGGGGAACAAAGCATTTCTTTTAAGGGTGTGGAAACCTCTCTCTAGTAGAGGCGTTTTGAAATCGTGAGATTGACAGCAATACGTAATGGGCCAAAACGAACAATATCTACTAGCGGTGGGTTTGGGCTATTACAAATGGTATCAAAGATAGACACCAAAGATAGACACCGATACAAATGATATCAAAGATAGACACCAAAGATCGACACCGAGTAGTGTGCCAGCGAAGACGTTGGCCCCAAGGGAGTGGATTGTGAGATCTCACATCAGTTGGAGAGAAAACGAAGCATTCTTTATAAGGGTGTGGAAACTTCCTAGTAGACGCGATTTAAAATCATGAGACTGACGACAAAACATAACGGGTCAAAACTGAACTCTCTTACTAAAAGTTGTACCCCTCCTTTTCTGATTCCTCTCTTAGTATGTCTTTTGTTTGGCACAAGTTGAAAACAACCTGGGTATCATATAAACTTTGTGACAGATATTCTATCTAAAGGAGGAAGAACTTTGTTTGATGCAGGTTTGGAAGAACTTTGTGTGTGAAGCTTCAGCTTTTGAGATTTGTACAACTCCTGGTCGGCTGACCCCAACCTACTACAGTCAAATGGCAGCTGCAGTAAACGTAACCTTCGGCTTGTACAAGTATGGCCCATACTTGGTCAGTTTGGAAGATTGCACGTTCGTGCGGCAGACATTCACAGACATACAAAACGACTATTGTCCTGGGTTGCGCCGTTACACAAAGTGGATCTACGTTGGACTGGTTCTGGTGTCTGCAGCCGTGATGCTGTCGTTAGTTTTCTGGGTTATCTATGCCAGAGAGCGTCGACATCGCGTCTTTACAAAGAGCCATCAGGGCAATTACGCCCAGTGATAGCGAAGAACACCGCTGTAAGGAACGCCCATCCATGTATGCTTGTAGCTATATTTGAACATTATGTGAGTGCTTATTTATTTCTGTACAAAGTTTTGAACGGTTCTTGTTTATTATGATGGAACGTTGTTTTGTTGACACAAAGTTCAAATTTTTAGTTGAGGTTTTCAAAAATCCATAATCCCCAAATTTTCGGAGAGCTTTGAATAAGTGTCGAAATTTAATTACATCCAACCATTACTCAAACTAGCGAAATTCCCATTTCAACCAACCAAGCAAGTTGTAGTTAATTTTTTTTAAAGAAATTCCAGGGGTATTAAGGTAATTACACTTCGAACGGGCTTATATAAAAATAGAGAAAAAATAATAATAGAAAAGGAAAAAGGAAAAAGAGAAAAAGTAGAAGCCCTTGAATGCCTCAAACACAAACACACGAATCTTCTTCCACAAGTTTCCCTCACAAAAAGGAAATTCAGTTCACAAGATCACTAACGAATTCACCTCTTTTTCCAACTTTTCAATTCAATGGCCACAAAATCTAGATCCGTCAATTCCAAATTGCAGAGCGTCGGCAGTTCACGCAAGTGCCTCTGTTCTCCGACCACCCATCCCGGTTCTTTCCGCTGCAGTTTTCACCGGAACCGCCGCAAGGCCTCCGCTAGGTCATCGTCATCATCTATTACTGCCATTACCAGTGCGCAGTTGGAGCTTACGGTGTTCGCGAAGGCCAATGCGGTGAGGGCGTTTCTTCTGCACATCATCAGGCCGTCCAGTAACGATCTTCAGCGGCGGAGGAATTTTCATCCCAGACCTTCCAGGTTTTGCTTGATGAACAAACACGGAACTGGATTGGCTGTTTCTTGAATCATTTTTTTTTTTTTTTGGTTTTACTAGCTCTGAATGTTCTTTCGATCCTCTTCGCTGAATTTCCTGTCTCGCTTTACAGACGAGTTGGTAAATATAGTGTTTGTGTACAGATTTTAGAGAACATCGCATAAGTTGGATCTTGATTCGACAAACTTTTCTTGAAATAAAATTAGGTTTTTGTACATTTCTCTCCTCTGTTTCTTTCGCTCTGATTCTTGGAACCGGAGAATCGCAATAATCAACCTGTGTTCATAGGAATTCATAATCCGATCAAAACTTATTCCACATATCTCGCTCGGATTTGACGTGTTTCCAAATTCCTTTAGCAATTTTTCTGTTTATTGATAGAGATCTCGGAGTATGGTTGATTTCAATGTGAGTTCAGTTTTCAATGGAATCTACGCTATAACGAGATTTTGTGAGATCAAAATAGTAAAGGCAACCATGTTTGTCAATTAAAATTTATATTCTGTTGCTTGCTTAAGCCTTAAGCTAGATCTGTAAGTGTTGGAATGATCTTATTTTGGAAATTGATCAAATTCATAGCATTATAATAATAATAATAATAACAATTACCATAATTACAATTTTAAATAACATATTCTAGAAACTCAGCCTTTTATATTAACTTTTTCCTCAAGATATCTAGAATATGAACAAAATTTATTATTATTTTTTAAAGAAACTAGAACCAAACAAATAAACAACCTACCTATAGATATTGTTAATTTTGGCTCGTTATCTATAGTCCTCACTCACAATCGTTATCTATAGTCCTCACAAAACGGAGAGAGTTCCACACTCCACTCTTATGAGAAATATTTTATTTTCCTATATTTTATTTTCCTCTCCAACCCTCTCTGATCGACGTGAGATCTCACGTTTTTTGATTACTAAGGAAGTTTGAAAGAGCATCTATACATGGTTGTCCCACAAAATGAAATTTTGTTTTGGCATGCTAAGATGGACTTGACTTATTCCAACATAGCTTTAATGAGAATATCAAATGGCCAAACCATCACACACACTAAAACTGGTCAAACTTTCTCCGAGTTCCATTTTAAAATAAATAAAAAATAAAAAATCAGTCAATAAGTGATTCTTTAGTGAAAATTATTGAAGAAAAAAAAAAAAAAAAGAAAGAAAACCCATGTGATTGGGAATTGAATTTTATAACGAAGAATAAGAAACCAAAATAAATGGGATAGGAATCTTCTAAACTTGAGAAAAATCAACGTTTGGTCGCTTAAACCCTTTTTTTTTCAAATAAAAAAATAAAAAATAGTATTTTCTTTGGTATTAATTATTTTTAAAAAATGATATTAATTTATGATCAAAGACCAAAGACCACAACAAAAGCATAGCACAAAAGTAGACCCATAAAGCGTGACAAAATTCCCCTTCTCTCTTTACACTTTTTATTTTTTAAAAAATAATTAAATAACTTTGATGGTTATTTTAATAAATTGATTATTAAAAATCTAATATATATATATATATTTTTATCAATATGTTCTTATTTAAGTGAATTTAGGGTTGTGTTTTGAAATAATAATAATATTTAAAAAAAGTTTTAAAGCTTCAAAATAGGTTTAAAATTGATCCAAATCTAAAAGCATGGAATAAAAGTCAAATTTTAGGCAACATATTAGTCTAAAACTCATGTTTTGAATTTATTTAATTGTTACTCAAAATTATGATTCAAAATGTCAAACATGTTTAAACATAATTGATTATGCGTACCTTCTAATACCTTTTTCAAAACAATGCAATGCACTTTAAATATGTTCACATCACCCAATTTTACTCTCTTTCTCCGTTTTAAAAAGCCTAAAATTTTTATTTATTGATTTAAATAATTTATTCAAAATTTTAAACTTTACCATCAAAACCTTCATATTTTGGCCGATACCAATATTTTAAGTATTTTTAATATTTCGATTAAAATCTTAACCACAAAAGATGAAATTTTTATATTTTAGAGAGTAGTAATTTAATGGGTTGATTAAGATGCGGTAATCTTAAACTCTTAATCACATTAGTCACTAACCACTTACCTAATCTCTATCAAATCAAACCATAACAATGATCGGTCAATATTTCAATAATAATAACAATAATAAAAAAAATGATTCCATCTAAATATATATTAAAAAAAAAAAAAAAAAAAAAAGTCTGGTCCCATATTAAGACATTGTAATGGGAAAAATTGATCAGCTGAACCACTAAGACAGAGTCAAATCAAAGCCACGCGTCTGTTAGAGAAGACAAAGACCGTGTACAACATTTGACAACAAATTCAAAGCTGCGGTCGCCCAACGCACTCTCACCATTTTTACTCCAATAATTGATCAACCCTTCAACCTTTCCTGCACCATCTTTCATTTTAATATCTAAAATTAGTTCCGCAATAAAAACATTATTTATAAGGATGTAGAAATATTAGTATAATTTAATAGTAAATTTTAATGGTTACATATTAGAATCATCGAGTATCCTCCAGAAACTTATTTATACCCACCTCATTAATTATTCAAAAGCAACACACGAGACTTGTGTGAGATTTTTTTTTTTTTTTTTTTTTTTTTTTTTTTTTTTTTTTTTTTTTTTTTTTTTTTTTTTTTTTTTTTTTTTTTTTTTTTTTTTTTTTTTTTTTTTTTTTTTTTTTTTTTTTTTTTTTTTTTTTTTTTTTTTTTTTTTTTTTTTTTAAATTTTAAATTTATTTATGTATTAAAAAAACATACAAATAAATCCCCAAATATTGTGCTTTTCCATTAGAAAAAGAAAAGAAAAAAGAAAAAGGAAAAGGGGGGCCATACTCCCATGTGAAACGCTCCACCCAAAGTTTGCCATGGGGACCACCAAGAACACATGTCCACTCCAATCCCACCAAATTATTTATTTAATTTTTTTGGATTATTAAAGTTCAATAATAAAATCGCCCACCGGAACATACATGGGGTACGTGGAATTGAAATGGGCTGTCAGTTGTGGTATTCCTAGTACGTGGCAATTGCCTTTCAAACTGTCAGACTAAACGCCATTTTATTTTTATTTTTTTATAAATAATTTTACATTATCGCCGCAACTGCAACTGCAAGCCCATAGCATTACTAATGAAACCGTCTCCTTTTTTCTTTTTCCCTTAAATGCCCTTCCATTTTGGCGTTTTCACCAATTTGGTAATTCTTATCTTATTTCTTTGTTTTGCCTTTATGCTTCTAGCCTCTCATTTTAATTTCACATTGCAATATTTATGAAAAATATAAATTAATATTGGGTGGCGTTTAAATATACCGCTCTTATTTTTTTAATTTCCTTAAAAAGTGATTTTTATTTATTCGGTGAGATGTATAAATCCTTCCAACTGTAGGGGCATATTTGTAAAGTGTTCGTGGCGAGAAATTGCGCCCCGTCTCTCCTATAAATACACGGCTCGAGTAAAGCTAGGTTTGCCAATTTGAATAGCCGAAAACGGCTTCTAAGAAAACCTTCTTCCTCCTCCTCTCTTCCGCTTTCGTCTCTATCTCATCCTTAGACTGTAACTTCAATGGCGGTTTCTTCTAGAAAATCGAGTGGGCCGGTTCTGAGGTCTCTCTCACCTTCTGGGAGATTCTATGGCTCCTATTCTTCTTCTATGTCCTCTGGCTCATCGGCTTTTGCGTCTTCTACATCAAGCTTTTCCACCAGAAACCCTACGTTTTTCCGTAGATCTGTGTCTCCTTCTCGTATTAATCTTCAACCTTCTTCTTCTCCGTCGGCGTCGTCCGTGAGATTTTCATTGGACCGGTCTATTTCTCCGAATCGGCCGATTTCTGTTTCGACTCGTATCAGTGGGAATCAAGTAGTGAAGAGGCAGAGCAACCAGAAGAGGACCTGCATGTGCTCACCGACTACGCATCCTGGTTCGTTCAGATGTAGTCTCCATAAAGGCGTTCCGTCACAGCCTTCGACTCCTTACTCGTCTAATCGGCTCAACGCGCGGAGATCGGCGATGACGAACTCTCTTGTCAGAATCGGAGGAGTTGAAGGCGATTTAGTGAAGCGTGCCTTGGCGTCCCTCATCCGGCCTTCGTCTCATAGTCAAAGGCGCCGAGCGGATTTCTGTCCGAGACCGAGCCGGCTTTCGAACATGTCGAAAGCCGATGATTTGTGATGGAGATTTTGGTACGTTGGCGAATATCCTCTGGTTTATTAATCTGTTTTCCTCTTCTGAGTTCCCGTCAACGAAGACGGGAGATTCCGACCACTGGTTCGACGGCAGTTACCGATCGTAGCGAAAGGATACGGAATCGGAGGCGAAGCATGGGAATCATATCTGGTTGCCTCTCCAGTAAACCTTTCTGCCGGGAGTTGGACTAGAGAACCTATATAACTTTGTGTATATGCAGCATATATAAATATATGGAAGACATATATAGTTGCCGCGACATTGATAACAATTCGTGGAGCTTCTGGACACTAATTTTTCACCAATTTCAAAATTTAACAGTCAATTCATTCCTAAATGCTCTGGTCTCGAACTAATTTCAAATGGAACGATAAAATTAATTTCGTCTGCCAATCGGTGAAATCAGTTCATTCAGTTAATGTTCCACGAACTCGCTTCGTACTGTTTCCAGAACGGTTGTTCTTGTTTGGTTGGGCGTCGGCCGTCTCCTTCCTTCCGTTGTCGACTCTGTCTATTGTCGGCGTGAAATTGTGGCCGGAAAGTTGCGTGCTGATGATTACCGATATCCGTTCGGTCGGTCAACGTGGTGATTTCTCAAAGGTAAAGTAATTTTATCTTTAATCTTCCTATTCCTCTGTTTCTTCGAGTTTTCAGTTCGTTATAATGTCTGTTTATGTTCTGTATACAGATGCATTTACAGGTTGATACGGAAGGAACCTTTGAAGTATGAATTTGTGATCAGAAAGTAGGATTTATGATTGAGAAATTAGGCGGAGATGGTTCAAGTTTGGACGAAGTTGTGAACACAAAACTGAACAAATTCAATTCAAATTAACTGGAGTCTATACACCACATAAAATAAATGTTAAAAGAAACAAGTTGAAGGAAAGAATTGGACGGAAGAAAACTGAAACATACGAAATCATGATGATATGGTGCGGTAGACGGTGGAGGTGGATGGTAAACCTGGTGATGTTCCAAATCGGTGGAGAGACCGACTTCTACCTCCACACGAAAAACCAATCCGAAGAACAAACCCTATCAAATGTTCATCAATTATTGAAATTCTACCCATTTTTGTATTATGAACTTGATGATACTCAACGAGAGCGTTACCTCCCCCCATATCCAAGATTAGGATGGTGAGACATGCAGCACAAATTGATATACATCACTAAGTTCAGAGAAACTTTGGCATTTTCTCAAAATTCAAGGCTGAAGTATAAACTTGGTGTATGAACATAAATGGTAGATGGGGGAATCCCGAAAATGGAGACAACTCCCTACCTCGAGAACAACCATATCCAATCTCCATCCTCCAAGCTCTTATCTCCAACTCTCTCTCATTTCTATGAACTTTAGGTCCACCTTATGCTTCCACATCGACCATTCAATTTTTTCTATTATTTATTTCTTTAATAGATGGGTATTATATTTCAAGATAAGAATTCAAATGGGGTTTCTTCCGTCAAGAAATTAGATTAGAAAGGGTTTTTTATTTTTTTTCTTTCTCATTTTGAGATATCTAATTAGTTGTCTTACATTTGAGGATACGGATAATCATTATGAGATGGAAATGAAAATGGTGTGTCCAACGTTCACTCCACGGCCACCACGATTGCGACAAAATGAAAAGAAAAGACACAAAATGTGGCTCTCTCTCAAGCCTGTTTGGATGCCCAGAAAATCAGCTTCCATCATCATCATTATCTTCCACCTTTCATGGGCTTCACAATGGGTACACCTGCTTCCACTTTTAGCCACCAACTGGGTGCTTCTCTCTCTTTTTTTTTTTTTTAATATCATCTCATTATGCATTCATTTTTTTAAATATATATGGAAATTGAGTTGGGTAAATTTTAATTCAATATTTGAAAATAAATAAAAAATATTTTGAGTAAAATATTCAAAGAAAAAAAGAGTGATTCAAACGGGCTTTATGTCATGAAACAATGAAGCCCACAACGAATGATAATCATCGTCCGTTTCTATTCTCTCCTCCTTACAACGACAGCAAATTATTGGGCTTCCTTCTAGCGGCCCAGAAACTCTTGGGCTTCGGCTCGGCGGTATTAGCCTCATCATTCTCCCTTCGGGTACCCTATTATGATGTGGGCTTTTACTTGAGGCCCAATGGGAAGTTCTCCCCTCCAGAGGCCCATATGATATTGGGCTTCTCGGGGATATAGGCCGCTCTTTTCTATTTAATGGCCCAGATAACTTCAGGCTTTTACGGTTCATCACTAACTTCTCGTGCGTTCTTCCATCCAACGGTCCCGAATGTGACACGTTTTTACTCCGTCGTTTCGTCGGCTTCAGAACCTCCAGGACTTTAACCTCCTGTTTCCGGCCGTGATCCTCGCCGTGGGTCGGCGTACCTGGTGCAATCTCCGCCGCTTCTTTCCGGAAAATCCCCTTCTTCGGCTTGGAGTTGGCAGTGAGAGTGAGGTTCCGGATGCAGTTTCTGAGGCAGTTCTTGGTTTTGGTGAAAGCGGAAAGGAGAAATTTCTTGTGAGTGGGTTGTTGTTGTGTATGGAATTTGGCGAGTTTCATGATCTCGAGCCTGTCTGTGGCGACGGAGATTCCAATTTTGAGGAGAAAATCGTGGTTGAAACTGGAAATGTGTTCAGGTGTGAGGCCATATTGGACGAAAAGAAGACCGTATTCGTAGGTATGAAGAGGGTCGAGGCCGGTTCTTGATAGCCAAGAGAACCAGTCCATTGCAGGAGCCTTCGAAGCTTTTTCAATGGCTTCAATCTTTTAGCTATTGCTTTAAGAGCTTGACATATATATACGGAAAGAAATTTTCAATTTAACCTATAAAATTATCAGCGGGTCAATTATTTCAACTAATTTTGGAAGTTTATTGAACATGGGGATGAACATTATGTCCTCCCATAAATAATTTTCTACAAACAAATACAAATAATGTATTTTAAGGAAATGATGATAGATTTATTGGCTACCTTTTAGCAAATAAAGCATACCCAACCCAACCAAAAAGGGTAGTGATTGATGGCCACCTAACAAATAACTAATAGCTGCTTGAATTAAAGAAATCCAAACACTAGACCCAGAAAATAATTGGTATTAGGGAGATGGTAGTTGGATCATAGCCATTGAAGCATGAAGGAGACCACTAGGATCTTGCAAGATTGGTTGGAACCATTAAATTCTGCTTTACAAGAACAGAGGCAGTTTGAGATGTCACATGCTTGGTCAAAAGCTGTTTGTCGTGGAATGAAATTAGTGACATTTGTCGCATACAATATAGAATTGAATTATTGAAGATCTATTTGAGAAATGCATCCAAAATAGCTTTTTTATTTTTTGGAAACTTTTCAAGGGGCCTCATGAAGGAAGAACAATGAATATATTCCTGAGATCAAAATGATGTTTATGTCATTGACTCAAATAATAGTTCTTTCCATTGTTGTTATTGTGGCAGTGATGCAAATATCTCAATAAAAGCAAGCTACCGTTGAGTTTACCAGTTCAAACTCGCTGCTTTCCCCTGCAATAAGTCCCATATAATGACTGCCATATCAGTTGCTTTCAGGTTGACCAATTTTCATATCTGACTAAACCATAAGAAAATTGATGGATTGATGATCTCCACATGAGAAAAGAATTCAAATCTACAGAGGAACAGCTTCTTTTTTTTGTTGAGGTTAGTTTGGTTGATAAAAGTTCTAAGATATAAATATTCACATCACTCGTCCGATTCATTTTTTGGATATTTGACGTCTGTAACCATGACAATCTCATCATCTAATTCTTCAGTCTGCTCTGTTTCCTTGTAATCTTCTGGGAGCACGTTGCAGTTAATGGTGTACCACACTGGTCTCTCTTCCTGGAATAACCTGCCTCAAAACAAAATGATCGGATAAGAGAAATGGAAACTATATCGATGAATTAAATTTACATCTTGATGTTGAACTCTTTTAAGTTGGATCCTTTTGGTTGGCTCGTGAACACTTTTATAGCTACTCAATCGGTTTAGATGAGAGCAGGTTGTTCTTTAAAGTGGTTCGATTCTCTTGTAAATTGTAATAACTGGCAGCTTTGTTGATAGTCTAAACAAATACTTATCACAAACTTGTGCCAGTAACACTTCATTTCATCGTGTTCTATTTCAGCTAATAATGAGCAAAATGGATGTTTTTGTGTAGGTATAAGAAAAAAGAGAGAGAGAGGGAGAGAGGGAGAGATTTACGGATGCTTGCAAAGCGTTGGGCATCGCACTGTAAGAGCATACTTGCATGTTGATAGTTCTGTGATAGAATTAATCATGGCTCTGGGCTCCGAGCAAACAAATCTAACCTGCAATGAAATTAAGAATCAAAATTGGTAATGAGGAGAAAAAGAAAGAAAAAAGTGACAGAAAATTATTGATTACTTTGTACCTCAGTTTCTCGTGGTTGATTTGTTAGATCACACATGGTTCCATTTGTGTAATGATGAGCATGATACCTGAATGAGTCACGTAGCTTCATATTACTTTGAGAATTTGACATGTGGGGAGAGGCGCCAAAAGAAAACCTTGCTAACTATACGGGATCTATGGGATCCAAACACTAAACTCATACGAGCTTTTCTTCATATTTCATGTCTGAATGTCATATTTGACAATTAAAGAAACTCAAAGTCAGACCCATAGTAGAATGCCGGATGAAAACTCACACAAGTTTCTGTTTCCACGTATCCCTCCAACTTACTAATTTGAGAAGTGGTAGAAATAGGAAAATTACAAGCTTTAGTGTTTTTCGATAGTTGGTCTTTGCCTGTAACTTAAAGTCTGTTCATAATTTCTTAACTGGTAACTAATGAAAGTAAAAGCAAACCTTTGGGATGCATCTTTTGAGCGAGGATCCTTCAAAGTAGATACATCAGAGAGATTCTCATGGAGATTAGCCGTTGCCTCTGCATCATAGACACCCAATACAAACTCCTGAACTACCTGCAAAACAATACGCCAGATACTTCAAAGTCTTCACTACTTAAAATGGCAGGGCACTGTTTTATGTTTTTAATTAAGCTAGAAACCGTAACCGTGGCCTCCTGAAACATAAGCTAATAAAACAATCTCCTTTAAGAATATTAACACCAGTCCCCCATTTCATACACAGAGATTAGAGAATCGCATAAAGAAAGCATTAGAAGACACTCAAGGAGACTACCTTATCATCCTCCAAGTGAAATTGTCGTAGTGTTTTCTGGTAACAAAATTCATATGTCCACCAACCCTCTTGCTGCGAAAAGAAGTTGATGATGCAAGGCAAACATGTCAATTGTTCATAACATAATCATCACTTGTTTTACCTAAAATGCATATATTTTACCACAATTGGCCCTAGTTTTAAATAGCATGAATGTTGAGCGCAACAAAGGCATCTTGTCTCATGTGAGGCAGGACAGCCTCAAAGCATACACTTCACTTATATTTTTTAAACATGTCATATACTTTGAACACATATTATTTTTAAAAATGAAAGAAGAAAATACCTTAACGTCTTTAACTTTTTGCTTGATGCCTGATTTCTCAAGGAACTCGCACTAAAAAAACTACTTACAACACTACTTTTCTTTCGAGATATGATTTTAAAACATCGACAATATAGTCATCAGATGCATGCAAAGCAATATTTAGTGATAAATCCTAACCCTGACAAAACATTGCTCTTTTAATGCTTCAAGCAGCTCATCTGGAGTCTTCAATTTGACACGCTTCTCAGATTCCACAATCATGCTACTCACGTTCACCTGAATAGCTGGTTTTCCACTCTTGGACTTCTCCATCTTAGGCAAGAAGCACACGTAATTCTTTCCATTTTTATTGGGCATAAACACAGATTCCTGATCATCATCCTGCAAAGTTATAAAAAACATAGAGATTTCAGATGGCATATGCATACTTCCTTATTCTTGAATTATGAAGTCAGATATCATACAGTGTAGAAAAGAAAGTTTTTGTATGAAGTCTAGTACAAGAAAAAGGGTACTGAAACTAAACATTAAAACAATAAAATTTCATGCATAGAGAAGGAGCTTTAAGTTCCCACATACATTTGCAGCAGAACTGAGCACATACAATGATTTAATTATCAAGCATTTAAGAAAACAATGCACACAGAGTCCACCTTCCCATCTCTTCTTCCACAGTGCATCTTACAGACTAATCACATGTTGGCCGTCTAGGAGGTTCTTGGAGTTCAAGAAATCATTTACAAACCAATTATTCCAATTGCTTGATACCATAAGGATGAAACTACAATTTTAGTTTGCTTCAAAATTTGGTGTCATGGATCACTGTACACAGAGAACTTATTTATTTATTGTTTTTAATCGTGTCAAAATAATCAACTATCAATCTTCAAAGCCCTTCCTCCAATCCCCTTAGAGAAAGAAGGCAACTGATGAATACATTTCACAGAGTGGGAAACAATGTAAGGTACAAAAATCAGATTAGGCCAACAGAGAGAACATATGATGAAAAATTTAAAAAAAGAAACAACAAAATAAGATAACTAGAGATTGACTAATGAAGGTGTGGAGAAATGCCCACAGTCTATCATCTTTAACTTTGTAAAGTTATACTACACTCCGACCTAACAAGAGAGGAGGAGGAAAAATGCCAAAGACCCAAAAAATCCCCATCTATTTACATCCTATGGGTGAATAGGATCCAAATAATACCAAGAATCAACAACTAAGTTCATTATAAAGCTTACCGGGTTGTAAGGCGAGTCCTCTGGATGGAATTCAATATTGTATTTCGGTCCACGAGAGTTGCGACTAAATGTACCACCTGCTAATCATCAATCAGAAAGAGGGGATAACAAAATTTCATATTAACTAGCTATTGCAATGATGAGCAAATACAATAAATGTAAAGATGGTACACCGCCCTACATTTTGATATTTCAAATTCTCATAACGTATGCCAAACCGAATGTTAAACAACTTATAGAATATCAGCCCGCCAACACATAATCCTACGATTTAGATTCAGAGTTCGCAATCCGAGTGGCATAACTTCAATCAATAAGAAGCAGAAAACTCTAAACTTAATAATAAAGGAAGATAGTCTGGAAAACCATTTCTAAATACTGAATTCAAAACAAAAATTAACTAATTAAAAATTCATGAATCAAGATTATACGCCTAAAGAGGATATCTGTTTCGGAACTTGTCAATAAAAAGTTACAGAAAGAGAGAATTTGGAGAAGAATTTCACCTAATTGAGCTGGGAAGATCTGGTCAGCTAACACGCAATGGCAAAAAATACCAGCTAAAAGAACCAGCCACAGCAATTTCCTCATTCCGGTGTCCTCCGACGAACGTACAAATGGGGAAAACAAGAGAAGGAAAATGTAAGGGCGAGGTATTTCAGCTGGAAGCGGAAGGACGACGACAGAGACGACGAAGAAGATGAAAATGGCGTCTTCGTAAACTTGTTTTACGGCGTTCTATTGACGGTGGTGCACTTCCACGTAAGCTTGACCAATGAGCCATCGCCACGTCATGAGAAATATTTGATGGGACTTCCAACAAAATGGGCCGGGTCAGTCCAGCGTTTAATGGATCTGTGGACTCATTTTAAGTGGGCTTTGTCTATGGGCCATGCCCTCGAAGGAACTCAAATAATTATTTCAACAATTAATGGGCCGGAGAATTCAGCCCATTAATTGTACACCTGGTATATGAAATATTTAAAATTTACAGAATAATATAATTGGGATTTTTCTATCTTAAAAGCATATCATATGTCTTTTCATGTAGCTTTTAGCACGTGTTAAAAAAAAAGCTGGGTAAAGTTGGGAGGCTAAGTAATATCTTTATTTATATTTTATTAACAGAAAATATGGCTTTAATAATATATTTTAATTAAAATTATTCACCGCAAAATAAAATTTAACCATTGACATGAAAAATAAAAGGCAGAATTTATTTATTATATATAATTGTAAAATTTTGAACCAACAACCAATGGAATGGGCGGTTACCCAAAAGACTTGGAATTCACGGCAGCTGTGGAGCCCACATATTTTTGAGTTTTCAAGTCAAACGGCAACCTCTATAATAAAAACAGTAATTTAATTTAATTTTTTAAAAAATAAAATAGTATAAAAACCATTACCAGCTTTTTCTGAGAATTTTGTGGCGTTCACGACAAGTTCTTACAAATCTCACTCGTTACAAAAGCACAAACGGATTCAACGGTTCGTTTTCCATTTCATTTCCTTTGCTAATAATATTCCGTCTCTTTCCGCCAAATAATTTCCTCCTTCTTTCTCGCCTGGATTCTCCGGAATTATTTCACTGCTTCATACATTTCCCAGATAAGTTTTATGTTTCCGATTTTGCATCTCCTGGCCAAAAACGCACGACTATAATTGATGTTTCTTTCTGCTTATCACGCATACGTTTTAGCTTAATCGGCTGTCTTTCTTCTTTCTGCATTGCGGTTTTTGTTCTTCAATGAATGCTATAAATTCTGATTCCAAGAGAGCTTAAGAATCTCTGCTTAGTATGCCCTATTTGAGTTTCTGGGGAATTTCAGGATCGTTCTATCCTTTTTAGGTCGGTTCACTGGAAATTTTGGGGGATTTGTGAATTTGATCTAGAAAATTTTGTGGTTTTTGTCTGGTTTACGTTTGATATTTGGGTACTTTTTGCTACATTCGACTACAGGGGAATTCATTTTTTTGTTTGTGCTGTGTTGCTTCTTTCTAGAGGGTTTAAGAATTGTTTGTGGGATTTGATTCTCTTCCTCGTAATAAAGTTGGTTTGGATTCGTTTTCTCTGGCGTGTAGTTGTAGAAACTAAGTCTTCTGGTCCGATCTTGGGTTTTCAATGGGGAAGCAAAGTGGGAAGAAAAAGAAGCAGATTGGTGATAAGTTTCGTGAGGTCATAGCGAAACATCGCCAAAGTGGAGATGGTAGTCCAAGCAATAATGACAAAGACCATGCTATTTTCATTACCATGTCTCTGGCTTTGAAGGAAGAGGGGAATAGATTGTTTCAGGCTAGAGATCTTGAAGGAGCAATGTTGAAATATGAAAAGGCTCTCAAATTACTTCCTAGAAATCATATAGACGTATCTTATCTTAGGAGTAACATGGCGGCTTGCTATATGCAAATGGGGATTAGCGAGTATCCTCGAGCGATTCATGAGTGCAATTTGGCTCTTGAAGTTACACCCAAGTATAGTAAGGCGTTGTTGAAGCGAGCTAGATGTTATGAGGCGTTGCATAGGCTGGACTTGGCTCTAAGAGATGTTAATACAGTTTTAAACATGGAGCCAAATAATATCATGGCCTTAGAAATATCAGAGAGACTTACAAAGGCACTTGAGACGAAAGGATCTAAGGAAGACGATGCTGAGATCAAGCTGCCTCTTGATTTTGTTGAATTGCCTGCTGAAGTGTTGCCGCAAAAAGGATCAAAAGAAAAGAACCGAAAGAAGAAGAACAACCAAAAGACTAAGGAAACCATAATTGAGAAAAAGGCTGATGAAATTGTGGAGGAGAAGGTTGGTAATGAGACGGTCGAAGTGGAGAAGGCTGGTAATGAGACGGTTGAAGAGGAGAAGGCTGGTAATGAGACGGTCGAAGAGGAGACGGCTGGTAATGGAACGGTTGCAGAGGAGAAGGCTGGTAATGGAACGGTTGAAGAGGAGAAGGCCAAGGAATCGGTAGAGGAGAAGAAGGCCGAGGATAAACTTGTTGTGGAGGAGAAAATCGCCAGGGCACTGGAGGAAACACCTATGAAAACTGTGAAATTGGTGTTTGGAGAAGATATTCGATGGGCTCAAGTGCCAGTGGACTGCACTCTACTGCAACTGAGGGAGGCTATACGTGATCGTTTTCCGACCTGCCCGGCAGTCCTTATCAAGTACAGGGACGAAGAAGGCGATTTGGTAACCATTACTGCCAACGAAGAATTGCGAATGGCTGAAACAGCTAAGGCGTCACAGGCTTCTGTTAGATTTTATATATTTGAAGTTAAGCCTGAACAAGATCCATTCTATGAAAAGTTTAAGAAGGATGATGAGGTTGCCAAGTGTAAAGTTGAACAAAGTAGCATCTTTGAGAATGGCCATTTATTAAGAGCAAAAGAAATAAAGACGTCCTCTTGCATTGATGACTGGATAATTCAATTTGCTCAGTTATTTATAAACCATGTAGGATTTGAATCAGGCCCATGCTTGGATCTCCATGACCTTGGGATGAAGCTTTATTCTGAAGCTGTGGAAGAGACAGTAACAAGTGAAGAGGCTCAAGGTCTTTTCAAATTAGCAGCAGAGAAGTTTCATGAGATGACAGCCTTAGCATTGTTCTACTGGGGGAATGTTATCATGTCAAGCGCCAGGAAGAAGGTCTACTTCACAGATGGTGCTTCAAAAGAGCCTCTGTTTGAACAGGTAAAATCTGCGTACGATTGGGTCGAAAACGAATACGTTGAAGCAGGAAGGAAATATCAAATGGCAGTCGAAATCAAACCAGACTTTTACGAAGGCTATCTAGCTCTTGGGCAGCAACAGTTTGAGCAGGCGAAACTTTCTTGGCTTTATGCAGTTAGCAGCAATGTTGATCCAAAAACGTTGCCTTGTACTGAGGTTCTGAAACTTTATAACTATGCCGAGGAGAGCATGGAAACAGGCATGAAAATGTGGGAAGAATGGGAAGAACAGCGTACTAGCGAATTCTCTAAAACAAGCACCGTTAAAACCCAGTTGCAGAAGATGGGATTAGATGGGCTGATTAAGGATATATCAGCTGATGAAGCTGCAGAACAGGCTAAAAATATGCGGTCTCATATAAACCTCTTATGGGGTACCATGCTCTATGAGCGATCGATATTGGAATTTAAGATGGGGCTACCAGTGTGGCATGAATGTCTGGAAGTTGCAGTTGAGAAATTTGAGCTTGCTGGAGCTTCTGCCACTGATATCGCTGTTATGATAAAGAATCACTGTTCAAGCAACAACGCACATGAAGGTATAGTCTAAGATATATTCTGTAAACTGAGTATGAGTCCATCCATGTTTAGATATTTTTCTTATCTGCTCCAATTACAGGTCTTGGGTTCAAAATTGATGAGATAGTTCAGGCATGGAACGAGATGTACGAAGCTCGAAAGTTGCTTACTGGAGTTCCATCATTCCGATTAGAGCCATTGTTTCGGCGAAGAGTTTCGAAAATCTACCACGTGTTGGAGGAAGCTTGATTAGAGCATATTTTCAGGATTGTTTGGAGAGACTAGAAGGGAATAGCGCCAGTTTTGCTTCTCCACGCAATGAAACTGAAAACGAACATTATAGGTAAGTTCCACTCATCAGTATAACAACAATGCTGAAAAATGATGAACTGCATCACCATATCAATGGGTAGCTGTTGTTTTCCTGAACAGGTTTCATTTCTTCTATGATGGCTGTGTCAAAAGAAGGTTTTCCATTTCTGTTGCTATTATGCATTCTTTCTCAATACAATCTTAAACCTGGGGACAAGATGAAATTGCAGGGACTTCCATTTAAGCTAGTTTCTGCTATCACCTTCATCCTTTCTCGTCTCCTAAAGCAGTGTTCATAGTATTTTTATGGTCAGTTGTTCGTTCAAGTGTCCTAGATAACAAATTCTTTCATTGTTTCTTATCCTGTTTTGTAATTTATGTTGTAATCCCATTTCTTTTGTAACTTTAATAATACAGGTATATGTATATTCATTTAAGACATTTAATAAATTCTATTTCATTTACTTCTCTTTTCCCTTTTGTCGCTTTCTACTTAGCTGCGGTGGTTCTCAACTAAATATATTCATGAACATGTGTGATGGGTATACTCATGAATACAATTACTCCTCATCCTTCCATTTCTAACCTCTTTGAGCGAGTAGATAATGAGCTTACCTTTTTGGGCGTGGAGCCCAAGCTCACCGCTGAGCTAGTGCTAGTGCCGAGGGAGAAGTTTCCAAAGCTGCTAATAGATGTTGTCCTCTTTAAGCTTTTTTTTTCGGGCTTCCTCCCAAGGTTTTTAAAATAAGTCAGCTAGAGAGAGATTTCTACACCCTGATAAAAAATGTTTTGTTTCTCACTCCGATCGATGTGGGATCTCATAATCCACCCCCTTAGGAGCCCAGTGACACAATCTTGACACAATCGCGCTTTCAAAGGCAGCGGACTAGCGATTGTGCGGCACTCACTTTCCAGCGACAAGTGAGTTAAGCCTATTTCCAGCGACAGTGTATCTTCGTTCGGCATCGTTGAGCTTTCGACTTTCGTAAGCGATGGGGTGGCCTTCTTGAATAAGGACTCCACCGAGAGCAAAGTCGGAAGCATCGGTTTCTACTTCAAATGACTTTGTGACGTCTACCAACCCGAGGACAGGACCCCTCGTCATGGTTGTTTTCAGATTTTCAAGGCCATTTGACAATCATTCGACCACGACCAAGGGTGGTCTTTCTTCAACAGCTCTGTCAATGGGGCGGCTCGTCGTGAAAACCCTTCGACGAACCGCCTATAATAGTTGGCTAGTCCTAAGAAGGACCGCAACTCAGATACGGAAGTAGGAACCTTCCATTCTTGGATAGCTTTTATCTTGTCGCTATCCATACTAATTTGTCCACATCTGACGACATGTCCAAGGAAGTTGATGCATGTTTGTGCGAATGCACATTTCTCCTTTTTCACATACAGCTGGTTCTGCCGGAGCTTGTCAAACACTAACTTCAAATGCACTTTGTGTTCCTCGAGGGTTGTGCTGTAAACAACAATGTCATCGAGGTATACTATGACGAACTGATCCAGGTATTCGTAGAAAACCTGGTTCATCAACGTGCAGAACGTAGCTGGGGCGTTTGTCAAGCCAAAGGGCATTACTAGAAACTCAAAGGCCCCATATCTTGTTACGCACGTCGTCTTGGGTTCGTCCCCTTCGGCAATACGTACTTGATAGTATCCTGATCGTAAGTCCAACTTCGTGAAGTACTTGGCCCCGTGAAGTTGGTCGAACAAGTCGGATATTATCGGCAGAGAATATTTGTTGCGTACTGTCACCTTGTTTAAGGCTCTATAGTCTAAGCACAGACGCAACGTCCCATCCTTCTTCTTCTGGAATAGTACGGGGGCTCCATAAGGGGCCTTTGCCGGGCGAATGAATCCCGCCTTCAACAACTCATCTAGTTGTTTCCTCAATTCGGCTAGCTCGGGCGGAGCCATCCGGTATGCGTTCTTTGCTGGCGGCTTAACTCCGGGAAGGAGTTCGATTTCGTGGTCAATGCCTCGACGAGGTGGTAGTGTTTGTGGTAGACTCTCTGGCATGATGTCGGTATAGCTGTATAGTACTTCCTTGATTTCCTCTGGGACAGTCTCTTCGGTGGTTGCTTCTTCTATCAGTGGTATGGCCATAAATGTAGGTTCCTCTCGTGCGAGTCCCCTTTTCAGTTGTATGGCCGAGATCATTCGAAGATTACCTGGTTGCTTGATGCTTGCAGGTATTACTGTGGGATTACGGTCGGTGATCACCAAGCATTTTGCTAATGGCATTGGGATGACCTTGTGTTCTAGGAGGAACTCCATCCCAAGTACCACGTCGAAGTCATCCATGCGAACCACGACAAGGTCTAGCTCTCCAGTCCAATCCCCTATTTTGAAGGGGACTCTCTTGGAAACTCCCACAATAGGCAAGGCCTCGGAATTGACAGCTTTCATTTTCCCCGGGTCTTTTCCTATGGTGAGTCCCAATCTTTTGGCTTCTTGATCGGCAATGAAGTTGTGGGTTGCTCCAGAGTCTATCAGGGTGCTCTTGCTCGGTTGAGAGTTTATTGTGGCATCTACGAACATGAGCCCTTTCTCCAGTACCTCCTTCGGTTCGACTTTCCGTTGGAGGGCTGACAAGAATTTGAGTGCGCCCATTCGGGGGTTGTCGTGATCTTCCTTCTTGTCTAGCAAAGTCTCGACCCTTGCTTCATTGCTCTCTTGAATGGACACTTGAAGTGCAGTGAGAGAGGCCCGATGAGGACAGTAGGATACCTTGTGGGGGCCTTTACACAGCATGCATTGCAAAGGTGTCGTCGGGTGGTTCCTTTGATGGTAAGGCCCTCGAGAAGTCCCCGCTTGATTGTTCTGAGGAGGTCTATCCGTCCATCCATTCGGTCTGTTGGGACTTCCATTTCGCTGGCCTGGTGGTCTGTATGGTTTGCCCCCATTGTTTGGGGCTGGTGTCGCTCTTCTTTGGGATCCTGCTTCGTTCCCAGAATCTACGAGTCTCTCGGCGCAGGCCATTGCTGCAGCTAGGGTTTGGACCCTGTTCTCATGTATCTTTGTTTTGGCCCACGGCTGTAGGCCATTTATAAAGAAGAACACCTTGTCCTTCTCTGCTGTGCCCCTGATATCCAGCATCAGGGTTGAGAACTGCCTGACGTAGTCCCGTATGTTTCAAGTGTGTTTCAGAGCTACTATTTTCTCCATTGCTATATGCCCTGCGTTTTCGGGGAGGAATTGTTCCCTCAATTCTCTCTTGAGGTCCTCCCATGAGTCGATGGTGCACAATCCATCCTCGATGTCTTGCACCTTCGTACGCCACCACAGTTTGGCGTCGTCTATGAGATACATCGCGGCTACAGTCACCTTCTTGTCGTCGGTACAAGCTGTTGTGGCTTTGAAGTACTGTTCGACGTCAAAGATGAAGTTCTCCAACTCCTTGGCGTCCCGATTCCCTTTGAAGGCTCTAGGGTCTGGGAACCTTAGTTTGTTGGATCCTGTATTAGTTTGTCCAGCCGTGACACCTTCCACGGCTTTCATGGTAATTTCAATTCGAGTGCTCATGGCGGCCATCCTTTCTTGGAGGTCGTCGACTGTTGTTCTGAATTCATCAGCCAATCCATTGAACAAACTCATCATTGTGTTTTGTAGTACGTCGAACTCTTCGCCACGTCCCTCTTTGTGTGCGACAGAGCTATCCGGACTATCAGACGGTTTTGGGCTGCTCGTAGGAGCAACTCTTTCTTCGAGCGAGGTCACCCGAAACAACAGTTCTGCGATTGGCAACCCATCCAGGCGGTTGCCCATTGCGTCGACTTGGACGACTTTCTCACTCAGTTCGGTCACCCGCGTTTCCAGGAAACGGAGGGTGTCAGGGACTTCCTTGAGGAACAGCATTTCCTCCTCTATTAGCGTAAGCCGGTCGGCTTGTGCTTTGGGTGTCGACTTTGTCGTCGACATGATCTCGGTCTGTATGACGTTACGGAGCTAACAAAGCTCTGATACCACTTGACACAATCGC